AACGTGTGATGGTATTAATATGTTGAAATCAAAAATTGGTAATCTGACAGCTAATCATTTTCATGCACATGAACTTTAAGTGGTTGCAATTAAAATGGTGAATCTATTCACTTGAATGTTAATTTTAGTTAAGACAAAAGAAAAAAATCTTAATCGACAAGTTAAGATCTTTAACAATAGTGCTTATGAAAATTATAGACACAAAAAGTTTTAAGTAGATGAATAACAAAATAAATTAAAGCTGAAGTGTTTGCCTATAATGGTAAAGCCTTTACTTTATATATAATAGAGAGAGAGAGAGAGTAACAAGCTATGTCTAATAAATGCCACATAGGGTTTGCAAAAATGAAAGTGAATTCGTCAAGCATACATTTTGAACGAGCATGAAGAAGCAAAAAGAGAAATTGAGGAGGACTTGCAACGACTTGGGTTGAATAAGAAAAAAAAATACTTTTAGAAAAATATTTTCGTGTCATGTTGCATTATATTACTTAATAGTTTAAATGCTCTCAAAATAAACACTAAAATTGTCATTGAACACATGAATAAATTAGAAGAACTTGTATTATAAGAGAAAAAGGATTCTAAAATCAAGAGAGAGAAGACACTTCACCACATTCTATCACTTCCACGTTTTTCAATTTGTATTAGACTTTTAATGAATGCTAAAATGGAACGCAACTAAACAGTTTATTACATATTTAAAGAGCGCATCGTTTGATCAAAGTAATCAAATTAGGTTTTTGCACCTGCCCCATTTAAGGGCAGTTGCACTAAAGTCAGTAAGGATACTACTAGAAAATTAATTGTATTTGGGTCTAAAATTTCTACAAATGCAAGTTTTAAGTGTCCTCAAATTGGTCATTATAGTAATGTATGTTCTAATAGAAACTTGAAGAAAAATATGAAGGAAGAATAAAATAAAATGAATGTTTATGATGACGTTCATGAATTTGATGAATAAGTTGATGATTCTAAGGATAATTTATCAAACAAATCTTTGATTGTCAGGTTTCGCATCATAGTTACCTTAATGGTGAATATAACCGGAAGAAACCTGATTTCTCTTCAAACCTATTTCAAGCATGGGATGAAACTTTGTAAGCCAATAAGTTAAATTTATATGAATATTGAGTCCAAGTCTGATGTACAATGCATGAATTTGTAACCTAAACTACATCTGTAACTTTATAAAATACTTGGGTACATTAAAACTACTATATCTATGTCTTGAAGCACTCTAGTGCTAATTCAATTGGCTGCTGATACTTAGAGAATCTGATTTGATATGCTACCAATGGCCATTGCATATGTTATTTTGGGTGGATCTTGGGTCGTAATATTGATATTACTCTTTTAGAAAAATAAATACCATGATTTTAAAATAAATGGGAAATGAGTAGTTTTGAATCTACGAGGCCTAAGGAAAATTTTGAATACACAGATGAATACAGATCTTCCAACGAAGTGAAAAAATCCTTTGAACATTTTGAGTAAACAAACATTGAGAAAGAGTTTTGATCTACTCTTTGATGTGGAACTGAATAATCTAAAGCTCAAAGTTATGATTAGTCAAATGATGCAAACACGTATTGGATAATTTTAAAGATGTTTGTCCTGATAAAATTTCTAAGGAAATGCCACCATTGAGGGATGCACAACCTGTAATCCACTCAAAATTTGAAGCATCATTACTTAATTTATTATATGAAAGACGAATCCATTAGAACGTATTTATTATATGAAAGATAAATCCATTAGAACATAGTAAGTTGAAAAATATGGGTAGATGAGTTACTTCAGAAAAGATTTAATAGAAAAAGTATGACTCCATTATGTTGTATCTAATTTACTAGTGTTTAAGAATTATATTAAATAGAGAATGTGCGGTGGTGGCAGGGCTATCAATAAAATCACTATCAAATACATATATTTTATATATTGGGAAGACGTCTTGGATATGATGAATGTAGTGAAAATATTTAAAGTTGTGAGAAATTGATACCAACATATTAGAATGAAGAATGGAGAAGAGTGAAAACTACTTTAAAAATTAGATTATAAGTATGTTTTGAAAAAGTCTTCTAGATTAAATAATGCTTATGGTAATTTTGTGAGTATAATGAAACACATCTTTTGATCTTTCATTGAAAAGTTTCTTGTTATATATTTCAATGATATTCTAATTTATAAGATGACATTAAATGATCAAATGGTGCATCTTCCTAAGTTTTGATGTTTCTAAGATGGCTTATATGCTAATTCTAATAAAGTCAAAGCGATTATGATGGCCAATATATATGATATATGAAGTCTTCATGATTTGCTATTTTATAGAGACGATTCATCAAAGGAGACAGTATATTATGGTTCTAACTATAAACTATAGAATAAAAAGAAGATTTAAATGAATAAAAATTTGTGCTTTTACCAAAATAAAAAAAGACTGACCAATGCACATGCACTTAAATTGTCTCATTTTAATAAAGAGTATAATGTTTCTTGTGGTTCATATAGAGTCAATAATAGAGTCGAGTAAAGGACATCTCATTGCATTTTTATATTGAAAATTTGAATGAAACTAAAAAAATATTCAAATTAAGATGGAGAATTTTATTTTGTAGTGTAAGCTCTTTGATAGTCGAGATATGTATGTAGCATGAGAACCTAAAGTCATACCTTCATCATCAGTGTTTGAATATTTGAATTCTCAAAATAAGTTATGATATAAACATGCTGAATATATCTGAATGGATTATGTTTCTACAATAATATTTTTTTGTCCCCAAGCGCTATGTTGGATTTGATACTAAAATTGCTGATACTTTCAATAAAATCTTTGTTTGTCTGACCAAATAAAAGATAAGTATTTTTCATAACAGAATTTTGATGGAATTTATCGAGACTTAAATAATGATTTATCTCTACCCAACAAAAACTATATAATTAAACATGACTATTTTTTTAGGGTGTCATGAAAGCAAAACAGTCAGAAGCTTCCGTAATTATATGATAGAAATGCAGTGTTTTAATGCCGTCCCTACCAACATTACAAGATGAAAGATGGAAAGTACTGGCCAAAAAAAAATTATAGCACACTAGCTAAAAATGCCAAAATGATAAAACAAAAAGGCACACTCAAAAATGCTATATAAAACTTTTTTACTTACGCTTATCTAGTTTGTTGTGAATGAAGAAAGGAGGTTTTTTTTTTCTGTATTGAGCAAAGCTAGAGATCTACAACAATACCAAATAGTATACAAATATGCACTGTTCATCCAAGAGATATAAGGGTTGTCTCCAAAGCAACCATAACATCCAAACGATTTCATACATGCTACCATCAAAATTTTCAATGTAATGAAGCCAGATTATTGAGAATGAGGAGATTTAAAAATAGATTGCAGAAATAATGGAGAATATAATATTCAGCCTCGCAAATCGCCTTATGGATCTCCCTTTTGATGATTCCAAAGAGAGATGGCACATGAAGACTATGTCAGCAATTACAAACTTAGAAAATAGCTATAAAGAACAGTTATCCAGTGCCACTTATCGATGATTTTTTGGAAAATTGAAGTCACAGCTGTATTCACCAAATTGAATATCAAGGTATCTTTACATGTGCGCTAATGAGACTGATAAAAAAAGATTGCTTTCAAGGCTTGAAAAAGGTTGTACAGGTGGTTGACCGTTAAGAGTAGTGGAGAAAACGAGAGGTGGGGGTGGAGGGAAGAGGTGGTGGCCGATGGCAGTGACCTGCAGGCTGTGGAGATTGCGGAAATCTACCAAATTCAAATTGATGAGTTTGGAATTCACCAAAATTTTACATTGCATTCTTTTTCATCCAACCAAATGTTACAATTTACAAAAACCTCTAATTATATTTGCAGTACACCGCAAATGCAAGCAAACAAACAACTCCAAAATGAGATAAAAGTATATTTTCAAGATGCTTGGATGCATATCACATCATAGTCCACATATCCCAATGAATGATGCCACTGATCTTCAGGGTCAAAATATGAAGAACAAGAACCCAACCATGCATTGATGCACTTCAACTTGTTAAAAAACAGGTAAAGTAGTCAGCATGTTTGCACATAGGCATACCATGACCATGTGGCAATATATATATATA